GGAGGAAAACATCATTTTTTGATTGTCATCGTCAATTTTTACCTCCTAAACATCCATTTCGTAGAGATAAGAAGAATTTTTATCTCAATAGAGTTGAAAAAAGCCGTCCCCCCCCAAGACTGGATGGTACTTTGATGGAAGAGAGGGTTAATCAGCTCCCTGACATAGTCTTTGGTCAGCCACTTCGTAAACATTCAATTGCAGGATTTGGTGTTTTTCATAATTGGGTGAAATGAAGTATATTTTGGGAATTGCCATACTAGAAGGATTTATTGATTCATCATAACCTTGATGTCATGCATTATGAGAAGAATTTTTTAGATAACATTAAAAATACTGCCATGGATGACAAGGGTTGTACGAAGGATAACACCAATGCTAGATTGGATTTACAACTATATTGCAATAGATCTGAATTAGAATTGATACCTCAAGATGATGGAACAGCTATAAAACCCAATGCTTCATATGTTTTTAGTCGAGAGCAACGAGCTCTTATCTGTCAGTGGCTGAAGGAATTGAGATTCCCAGATGGGTATGCATCCAACATAGCACGATGTGTTAACATGCAGGAACTTCGATTGTTTGGGATGAAAAGTTATGATTGCCATGTATTCATGCAGCGTCTCTTGCCAATTGCTTTCCGTGATTTCCTCATAGATGAAGTTTGGGGTCGCTTAACTGAGATGAGTAACTTTTTTAGAGCTTTAACTGCTCCGATTATTCAAGTCAGTAACATGGAGATGTGGGAGAAAAAAATTGTTGAGACAATTTGCAAGTTAGAGAAAGTATTCCCGCTAGCATTCTTTGACTCGATGGAGCATTTGGCTATCCATCTACCATATGAGGCAAAAGTTGGAGGGCCTGTCCAATTTCGTTGGATGTATCCTTTTGAAAGGTATATTTCTTCTAATATATCTTTACATCACAATAACATTCATTAGCATATTTAATAATTTAATGTTATTAATTAATTTTCTTATTTGTTTAACAGAAAAATGCATGACCTTAAGAAAACAGTGTTGAACAAAAATCGTGTTGAACAAAAATTGTGTTGAAGCTTCAATTTGTGAGTCTAATATTCTTTCAGAAATTTCCTTCTTTTGCTCACATTCTTTTAGATCTAACATAGACACAAGATTGAATCCTCAACCAAGAAACATTAACCAAGAAACATTAACCAAGAAACATTGTCGACATGAATGATGATATGGATAATTGTTTGCCTGTCTTTAAATATCGAGGTCAACCATTAGGTGGAGAAATGCGTATGCGTGCATTGTCACCCAAAGAATTAAAAGCAGCAGAACTTTATGTTTTGCTTAATTGTGAAGAAGTTAATCCATGGATTGCGTATGTTCTCTAGTTCTAGCTTTCATTTGTTTAAGTTACTAGTATGTTTAGATCTCAATTTACTCCAACTTTTTCATGTAGGCTTTTTGATTATCAAGTATGTTCCGGTCTATTAGAGGATCAAATTCAAATCAAACGGCAACTTGAATTTATTCCTTGGTTTAAGACAACGGTAAGTAATTTATTTTAATAATCT